ATGGGGATAACACGAGCACCATGGCTCTCCAAGAGGCTTTCCTCAGGGAAACCTTAGATGGGAGAAGCTTCTGTCATCTGCTAGGAGGCAAGACCTCTTCTTAATTCTTCACCCAGTAAGAGGAAAAGGGCGACAGATGCTGGTTTGATTGTCACACAGGTTTGAGACCTGTGTGCTCCATACATTGCACAGACATGCTGAGGGTCATTGGAAGACCTGAGGCCCTGGCAGAGCTGTCTGCACCACACTGAGTGTCCTAGATCCATTGCTCACCACTGGACAGGCTGGAGGAGGGACATAGGGGAACCCCCTGGAGTAGAACAAGGCCTCTTTCCTCTCAACTACCTCTCAGAGGCCCAACTGCTTCTTGGATAGACTAAGAGGAAGGCCAGCTTGTCTGGCAGCCTTTGATGTGAAATTGCTTGGATAAGGTTTCCTTTGGCTGTCTATCTATATGGCAAGGTCTGGGGAGGGGGTACCACTGCTGCAGGGCTTGAGCACTCTACAGCCTCAGGCCTTTGGGGGCCCTTGTGTCTCAACTCAGTCTTGACCTTCCTTTCTTCAAGGCATTGGTGTTAACAAGTGGGATGTAGCTGCTAAATCTCTCTCTCTCTCTCTCTCTCTCTCTCTCTCTCTCTGTGTGTGTGTGTGTGTGTTAGGAATATATTAGAAATACATACACAGAAACATATATATATATATATATATGTGTGTGTGTATATGTATGTTTCTGTATATATATATACACATATGTACCAACTTGCTCAGCCTGTATAACATTACTTGTATGTAGGTTTTCAGGGCTGACCACGTGGTACATGAAAATCTTTTTCTCCCATTCTTAGCATTCCTGAGTTGCCCACAGTTTTTGTTTGTTTGTTTGTTTGTTTGTTTTGTGTGTGTGTGAGGCCACTTGGGCTTTCCTCATCCATGTCAGCATGTTTAATGGTGTCATCTTTGTTCAATTCTTTTAGGCAGCCAATTGGTAAGGTTGTATGAGTGTAGCTTCTAATATGCCTAGGAGACACAACCTTACTGCAAGCTCCCTGCTCCTCTGGCTCTTAAAACTTTCAGACCCCTCTTCTGCAATGATCCCCAAGCCTTAGGTACAAGTGTTGTGTCATAAATGTATTAGTTGAGACTGGGCTCCACAATTGCATTTCTATTGGTTGTGGTTTTCCATAATAGTCTTTGTTGCAGTTTCCTTGATGAAGGGTGAGGATGGCATTTATCTGCAGGTGTAAGGGCAAATACATAGAATGTAGTTAGGGATTATGTTGGTTTTGAAAATTGGTGGTTGGAGGTTCTGCTCCAAGATCCATGACTTCACTAGACCTGGGTAGTTGTTTAGATTTCTAGTACCACACATGGTTTCCCTTTTGTTAAGAGAGTCTTAAGTCAAATTAGAGATCTGTTTGTTATCACCGGGCTTAATTTCTTTTCATCATGGTCTCCTTAGAAAGTGTTTAGAGATACACCTGTCATCTTAGATTCAGTGTTTGGAGCAGACCAACTCCAGCACTCTTGGATGGTTAGTACTCCAGGCCGCACCACACCTGTAGCCAAAGGCAAGATTTCAGGGGCCCCCAGGAAATCACCTCTGAGATTCTAGTGATACGTGTCCAGCTTGTAGACCGATGCTGAATTTATCCCAGTTCCTTCTTCTTGGCCATATAGAGTGGCAACTTCTGGTACTACCTGTTTCCACACATGGTGCATTAAAGAACTTGGGGCCTCATGCTTGTAAGGCAAGCATTTCAGTGAGCCATCTCTCTTGTTCCTTCTTATTTGCCTTCTGACCCCCTCTGACATAGTGCTGTTCTATTCACTCTACCACACTGGCACTCAGCTACTGCTATGGACAAAGTTGAGAAGCTGAGATGGAGCAAAGTTAGAAAAGCTGTACAACCTTGGGAAGGGGCTCATGAGATGGTAAGGAAAGTCACTGTTGGCTGAGTTACTTTATGGCATGGGGTTTGCAGGACAACAGGCACAACGAGCTTCCTTATATATATGCTTTTTTTTTTTTTTTAATTCATTCAAGTGCTGGTAGCTTCTTTTTTTCCTTCCTCGACATTCTTATGACCCCTAGCAGTATTGTGTCAGACTGTCCCTTTCTCTGACCTTTGCTGCTGTCTGTCACTTTATAGCAAACCCACTTCCAGGGCCTCTGGCTGTGCCTGTTGTCAGCCTGCTGGACCCGCCTGGCCAACCCATCTGTTAGTCTTACCAGGCTTGCCTCACCTCTGTCTCTGTAGCATTTTGCTTTTACGAAGACTGCTCTCTTATATTAACCTTATTCATACTGCATGTGTGTGAACACGTGAACACACACACACACACACACACACACACACACACTAATGACAAATGAAATAAAAATTCAAGCCTACTGTAAGTAAAAAAGTGGACTCTGGGAGTACAGAGAACGTCAGTAAGCTCTGGTCAGCAGAGCAGTCCTACTTATAGCCACTGAAGTACTCCCCACCCCCACTCAGCTCGCCAGCCTTTGATTTTATTCCCCTTTGGTAAGAGTGTAGCTACTGGGAAATACCCAGCAGCAGGAGCCCTGATGGTGAGCTCAGGGCTTGTGAGTTCCATGTCACAGATTCCTTTGAACTTTGTTCCTGAAACCTGAAGTTTACATATGCCTATATTTATATGCCACAGAAAACTGTAAACACACAAGTTTTAAGTAGTGTCAGAGCACGTGTTTGTTTGTTTAACCTTAATGTATTCTATAAAATACCCTCTCAGACTTCTGCTCAGTCACATAAGAGCACATCCAGCCAAAAATCCCAGCTAAGAAGTAAAGACAAAAATGGACTCAGTGGGACAGACTCACAAACACAAACAGTCCCGAGGTGTACACAATATAAATGCTTTATTGCTAGCACAGAGGTTTCTTTTGAAGTAAATTAAAAGTCATAAATCTTCATTTTCACATTCTATACTGTGGTTTGAAAAGAACTAGCTGGTTAATGGTGTGTTCACGTGGGCACACTGTAAGAAGAGCAGGGCCGCCCACTGGAAAGACTCAAAGCACATGTCAGGGCTCTGTCTGCTGAGCACATTGTTGTTTGTCAATAACAGTAAGGAGAGCTTGCTTGAAACTACTGTGGACAGACAGGTTATAAATAGAAAACTGAAAACTGGTTTGGTTAGAAAGCAGAAAACCGTTAAATAGAGAAGGTGATAGATAAATGCCCATATTCTACACCTAGGTTATATTTGGCATTTTTAAATAAATGTTGTTCACCCAGGTTAGAGACTGGCTTCGATTTGGCAGCTGGGGAGAGAAGGGAAGGAAGCCAGTGCTGCCCACACCAAATGAGATTCACTGGAAGGCAGAGGGAACAGTGAAGTTGGGAGGAAGGAGAGTCAGGCTTGCTTCACACCTCTCCCCTGCAGGCTGAAGCTCACTTATGAGGCAAGAGTAGTGTGTGGACGAGCGGGTCACAGGGCATGACAGATGAGGCCTGGTGGGACGTGGAAGTCTTGGCACACTGGTGCTCTGCAAATAGAGAAGGCAATCATCAAGCTGGACCACATTTTTCAAATGCATTGATAGCAGACTCTAGGTGGGTGACAGAGGCACAGTGGTCCAAAATAGCCATGGCATTGGAATAGCAGGTGCGGGTACAGTGGGGATGGGGATGCAGAAGAGGCTGTGGTCCTGACTCCAGCAATAACTTACTTCTCAGCCAGCCTGGGAAACAGTTCATTGCAAGGCCTCTGCATCACCTGAGTCTACCTGGACTGTTTCAGTTAGTCTTAAGATCAGCTTCGGAAAATACCCCATTCATCAATAAAAACAAGCGCTATGGTCATCCTTGCTCTATTCCAGAATAACCAAGAATTTCACACAGAGTCACGTACAAAGACACACAGACACGGACAGACAGACAGACAGACAGACAGACAGACAGACAGACACACACACACACACACACACACACACACACACACACACACACACACAGTCTATCTCCAAACCATGAGGTAAGTTCAGGCACTATGAACTTACATGTGATGACCAGTGACCTCCGTCACCATCTACTCTAGTGGTTCACAATCTTCCTAATGCTTTGACCCTTTAATACAGTTTCTCATGATACGGTGACCCTAACCATAAAATTATTTTCATTGATACTTCATATCTATAATTTTGCTACTGTTATGAATCATAATGTAAATATCTGTGTTTCCCAGTGGTCTTAGGCAACCTCTATGAAAGGGTCATTAGATCCCCTGCCAAAGGGGTCATGACCCACAGCACAGGTTGAAAACTCCTGCTCTCCACACACACACACACACACACACCACACACATACACACATGCACATTCTCTCTTTCTGCAGAAAGCTCAGAAGCTGTGAACTACACAAGATGACCTCTGACCTCATCTGCATCTTCTTTTTGCTGTGTCAGTTATGGAAGTAAGAAAAGGACATACAACATCCCTACCACTTAGAACATCTGCAGTGTACCAGCTCCTGGCATTTTTAGTCTGCCCTGGCTCTAACTAAAACCATTTCATGTTTTGCTTTGAAGAAATGGATAACATGAAATGGTAATTTGGCTGCAAAACCTTGGAAAATTGTTCCCGGCCCAAACATCTGCCCTAAATGAGCTCAGCTGAGGTCTCCTTGGAAGAGGGAGGAGTGGGGAGTGGGGAGGAACTAGGAGGAGGGAAATATAGACAGTGCTGCCAAGGCCACCTTTGCTCCAGGAAAGCTCTGTGACAATGGCACCAAGTACGGCAGCTCCCTTCTTCATCCCATGCTCCACACAGCAACACTGGCTGTGCCAAGCACTCCCCACTTCTTCCAGAGTGTCTATAAACCCTTCCTTGCTGGCCTGTGTCAAAAGCGCAGTGACCTGCCTGCTATGTCATCAATTCAATATTTAACAAAGGGCTGGGCTCAACTCTACACTCCTCAGAGTTGGGCCCACAGAGAAAGCGGGGGTCAGCAGTGCTTCATTTTCACCTGGGCCTCTTAGGAGTTCTTCTGCGGGATCTTCACCGTCACGGTCTTGACTTCTGAGTACTCTCGTAAGCCAAACTCTCCCCTGAAACATACAAATGGCAAATTCAGACACCAAAGGCCCAAAAGATCACACCTGAGCTATGGTGGCATCCTCTAGAAGGTGAAGCTGCCATGTATGAGCAGCAGGCCACTGGGCTCTACACATAAGCTCCTAGTGAACAAACAGTAAAGCCCTCCTCAGCAGAGAATTGCCCTCTCATGGGCAAATGCCCTTTCTTAAAGGATCACTTGTTTTCACAGCACAGGATAGATAGGAACCCTAAGAGCCAGGCCTGGCCAAGGCAGGATGGCTCACACCTGAGCACTGCAGCAGCAGAAAGTCAGGGCCACTGTCTGCCAATGCCTGGGCCACATGTCCACTTTCTGTGAGTATTGGTCCTTCAGGAATAGGTGTGCCACCCTGCAGAACCTTGCTCAAGCTGCTGCAGACTTCTGATGTCCCTATGCTGACAGACTACCTAGAGGGATGCTCTCTACCTCTCAGAAGGAAGTCTTAGACTAGAACCCTTACCAGTATACAAAATTCCTGTTTCTGATTCCTTATACTTCCTAAATGAAGATGGACAGAATCACCAAAGGCTTACTGTATGAAAACAGAGACCACCTGCACCAGCTTTAATATGGTCTGGTCCTGACAGCACTGTTCATGGCCCCACAAAGCTCGTGAGAAGATTTAGGAAATAATTAAGGGGACAGCTAGGGAGCACTCTCCCCACGAGTATCCCTACTTACTTCCTTTCTGGAATTGTGGCTGGTAACAGGGCCAGGGTTGTCACTGTGAGATTCAGGGAAAGCAAAGCCAAGCAACTAGTGGTGGCCCAAGTATTTTGCAGGTGAGTGTGACTCAGACGAAGGGTCTGCCAGGTTACTTCTGCTAGAGCACTTCTGTCCCCATGGAGCCGACCTCATTCATCTTACTGTTTGATCTCCCTAAAACTGTGAGATGGCTGCACCACCCAGCACATCAAGGACACAGAGGAGAAGAGGCAGAGAAGAGAGAAGAGGAAGGCTTTTGCTCTACAGCTGTTTCCTCAGTTCTACCCGGTTGCCACACTGTCTCCATCGGGGAATGGACTACTCAGAATTGTGTCTGTATGTAACAGACTAGTGAGAAAACTGTCTTCTGCATCAGTCAGCCATAAACGGTACACTTCCTACAGCTGGACTGTACAAGCCAGACCTAGGGCAATGGCCCATCTTATTCTTTTGGGATCCCACAGCCCTACACACAGCTCCAACAGCATTGCCAGTAGCTCTTCTGGGTATCACACCCAAGTTGACAAAGGCCCCTGGGATACTAACAGGAACGAGAAAAGTCTGCAAGCACACGATCACTGTCTGGGCCATTCTACTTTAAGAAGAGTGAACTGGGCCTCATTACACCACACCCCTACCAACTCTGCCCAGGCCCTGAGTGTCTATTATCAGCTAATTATGGCTTTCTCTGGATTTTTCCCCCTGCCTTAGAGCAATTCTGAATGCATCTCCTCATCAGGACATGGCAGTCAAGTTACTACTGCCTCCTACTTCCTTATGCATGCTCTTGGGCAGACCCTGAAGTACACTTTCTTCCCACTCTGGTCTCCAAGCTGTGAAAAGTATGAGGGGTTGTCTATGGAATCAGAAACATGACATAAGGCTGCATTCAAGTGTCCCCCATTGGCTCCCACCATGCTTGTGTGTCTGATGCTGTGAGTGGCCTTACTGGCTGGCAGCTCCTTGCCCAGTCCCAGCCTTCTCAGAGGCAAAGGAGGGAATTCAAACCTACAGTCAAAAGGACTCCCTTGTGCTCAGGGTATCAAGAGGGCCAGTGAGAGGTCTCAGAGTTGTGTATTGGAGGCACCATGCAGCAGAACCAGAATCGTGGAGTCAGTGGACAGGGATGACTCCACTAGCTGGCTGAAGGGCTTGGTTGAGCTATCCCTTTCCTCTTGGTGCCCAGTCACCTCCCCTTTGGCAGTTTCTGTGCCCCAGCATGCAGTTATCATCCAAGGAACATGACCACACTGGGTTTTTACCCTCCCCACACTGAAGTTTCTGCTGCTGGAGGCCTGGGGAGGCATAGAGAAGGGTAGAGTGAGTCATTCTGTCCAGTCTTTGAGAATACTGTCCAAATCCGTTCAATACAGTTACAGTCTGTGACACATCTAGACCCACAGTTACCAAGGAAGAGCCTCACCGCTGCTCAAGAGCCAGACCCGGTCTTACTGAAGCACCCCCATATCTGAGTGGCCACCATCACCACTGTACACTGCCCCTCGGGGGCAGAGACCCTGAGAAGTCCTCACGCCTGCTTCTCAGCAGACTAGGTTAGTCTCTGATATGAAGCAAGGGGGAGTACCCAGAGATAAGGAAAAATACTAGATTTTGGTGGCACCCAGCAAACCATCTTAGGAACCCTTGGATTTCTGTTTAGAGTGTGTATTTCCCCTACTTTCTTTTTGGCTTGCTGCAGAAATTTTCTGCATGAGGTGCCCATACCACCTGCACCAGCACCACTCCAGAAACTTATTATGATATGAAGATCCTGGGCCGCAGCCCAGATCTACTCAGAGTCTCAGAGAGTGGGTCCCCAGACAAGCATATTTAGCAATCCCAACCCCTCAGATCACAGATGACTTCTGTGCACATATATGCTATGTATTTGGGCATGTGCATGCATTTGTGCGTACTCATATGTGTACATCATTTGAGAAGCTGCTCAGCATCCCACCATTCTTGAAGTCCTAATCCCCACTGTAGCTCACAGTTCTTTTTACCCCTTTGGTTCAGTGTGATATTTAGCTTGTGTTTCCCCACCTTTTATCTCTTGGGCCTGTGATAGGGCAGGAGCAAAAGGACAGAAAACGGATGGGATTTTTTGAGCAGGCAACACTGAGAAGCACCCCTCTAACCTCTGGTGGGGAAGGGTATAACCTGCAGAAAACAGACCTCTTACAGTTCAGAGAAACTGAGGCTAGGTAGTCAGTCTTCCTTACAGCTTCTCTTTTCTGCTCCACCTGGGGGTGGGCATGAAGACTTGGAAGTGGGGCAAACAATTCTTCCCAGAGGGAAGGTTACATGTATTTTCTGGATACCATCAGACTAGATAGAAGGCAAGCAGGTTCATCTATTTAAAGCATTTCCTATTACTCTATGTCATTAAGAAAGAGAAAACATGCTTTGGGAGTAAGTAGAGACCAAGAACCAGGTCATTTACATCTCTTCTTAACTGTGGCCTGTAAGGGCTTGTGTCATGAATAGGGTCATCAAAAGGTTGCCAATTGCAAGGGGTTTCTGAATACTCAATGGCCAAAAGTTCAATTCAAAATCAAATATGTAGCATCTGAGGCTTTCCAGGCTGTGCTTGCCCATTGTATTTTGTGGCTTCATATGTGCCTGCTTGGTTTTGACCGTGCAACACACACTTAGCACCAAGCATGCCATCATGCTATCTATACCTCAGCTCAGATTCCAGACTACTGTTTGCTATGAGGCAGGAAATTCTATTATGAATTCCATTTTTATTGGGCATACAAGGTTCCTTACAGAAACATAATTTTATGGAAAATAAATAAATTTAGTATTTTCCTATCACCCTCCCTCAGCCTATAAGTAGCAAATGAATCCATCTTTGGATTGTATTGTTAGAATGCTTGATTTTAAAAATTTCTATCTGAGTTTGATAAAAATTTGTTAAATGAATTTTGACTTTGGATTGGGATAGAATTTGCAGCCGTTCTGAAGTGACTCTAAACATGCTTTTGCTTCTTGGCAGTCCATGCTTATATGAAGCAGTGTTCTCAGCTTTGGAAAATGTTGAAGATGCTCTTTGTTCTACAGCATCAAATACCCAGCAAGTTTAGTTCTTTATGTAAAAACTAAACAAGTACATCCATCTCATAAACAGGCAAAATCTCATTAGTCTTTAACAAACAGTAAAATAAAGATACTTCAAATAATTGTTTTATGAGAAGTTTCTTCATGATTATCAGGAAATGTTTAGATTGTATAACTATTTTGCATACCTACATATCCAGGGTTTAATAAAAATTTCTCAGGCAATAAGGGGTCACAAATGGAAAAAGATTGGGAAACCTTGACTTAGGTAAGATGCAACCAGTCTCATCAAAGAGCACCACCCCTCATTATATTTTAACTGCAGTGGGAAGGCCACATCACCAACATGTCTGTAAGGAGACAGATGCTGCTTTGTGGGTTTGCTTGGCCATTGTTATATATGATTTGACAGAGCCAATCTGTCTTCCAACCAGCCTTCTAGCAAAGGGACATTTCTTCTGGGAAGAGACCAGACCTACATAGCATCAAAAGTCTAAATCCCAGAAGGGTCTGTTCCTGATGAGGGGCAGGGGTAGCCTGGGACTGGGCCCCATTACCCAGAGGCCATTTATTACAAGTTTATTTTATACTGGTGATTCACCATGTTAATGATCTGTAGCAAAACACTGGATGAGAACAGTGTTCCCAGGACCAGTGACTGTCCCAACACTTCAGAACACAGAGGCAGGAAATGAGCCAGCAAGTGGAATGTAGCCTCAAGAATGGTAGAGAGTTAAGGCCATATGTGAGCCAAGAAGAGGTCCTATGTGCAGGAAGGTTTTGGGCAACTGATGGAGTATGAGCCCCTGTGAGAACAGGATTCTAGGTGAGTCACAGTTCTGCTGGGAGACAAGTGTAGGGCGCAGGGGCACAGGTGCACAGGACAGCAGAAGAGCTGGTGCCACTGGCTGGGAGGTAGGAAAACTGCTGTACTTCAGAAGCAACTTGCTGTTTCGACAGGTCATCAGCAGCTCAGGACAACTCTGTTGGTTTTGAAGACTGCTCCAGAAGAGTCCTTGTGCTTGGCCCTCAAGCTTCCATATGGCTATCTGGTTAGAATGTCAAACCTGACACTAGCTGTGAGACTGGGACAAGCTAGGTGATCACCCTATCCCTTAGCTAGGTCTCCTGGGTGTAAAGGGAAGTATATCTATAAAACTGCAAAACTCAAATGGGATAATGTGAGGGAAGGAGTTAGCACAAAGCCAGATACACAACAGATGCTTAGCTGAGGGCAACTGCTGAGGTTCGGATGTTTGTGTCACCCCAAAATGTGTATGTTGGAACCTATTGCACAATGTGATAGTATTTACAAGTGGAGCCATTGGGAACTGATTAAGTCATGAGGGCTCCACCCTAACAAATGGGATCAGAGCCCTTCTAGGAAAGCTTCCAGCACACTTCCTTTCCTCAGAACTTCATGAGGACATGGTAAGTGCCATCTGTGAGAAATGAACCCCTCCCAGACACCATATCTACCAGCACCTTGACCTTGGACATAGTTCCAAGAACCATGAGCAGTAAGTTCCTAATGTCTACATTGCCAGAAGAAGGTTGTGTTGTAGTGGCCCCAGTAACTAAAATAACACCTGCTACTGTTAATGCAACATTCTTCTACTCATCTTCTCCACCAGCCTCTGCCAAGACATTCCTTATATGCTAGCCCTCTTAGCCTTAAAAACGGATAGCTCCCCAGTTCCCAAGTAATTTCCCTGAAAGGCTTTGAGATATGTTCAATTTATATTTTCAGCCAGTCCTCTCCCTGACCCCATGTCGTAACCCCACAGTCACAACTTTAAAGGACTTATAGGGGCTGAGCAGGTGGTACAGGCAAGAGACCTGGATGGGCACAAGAGGAATGGCAAGCAGCAGTTAGCCCCTGGAAGCCACAGGCGTCATGGGAATGCACCACAGCTGTGGAGCTTGGAGCTCAGGAGGTATGTTCTGGAGAATGACAGTAAACAAGCCATCAAGGCTTTCCATAAAGCCTCGGGCTTCAGAGCAGCAGCACAAGCTTTCTGAAGCTGTGGAAGCAGACTGCAATGTTCCTGTGGCAGGATGTTGTCCTTGGCTTGGCAGCTGGTGAATGCCAGGCCTGAAAACTACAGTGGTGTTGCAAAATGGTATGTTCTCTGTGGGGTCTTTTCTGCCCTTAGCAGACAACACAGAGCTTTTCCTCTGGACCTACAAGATGAAGCTAAATAATGGATCCATTTTCTCCGTCCACTCTGGGGATGAGGGAGCTGCATCTTGCTCACTTTAATGCCATGTAATACTCAGCTTATATGAGCTTGTACTCAGTAAAATGTTAGATTAAGCTGGGTGCCGTGGTTCACACCCATAATCTCAGCACTCAGGAGGCAAAGGCAGGAGGATTACTGTAAATGTGAGGTCAGCAGACACTACAAAGATGCAGGTAATTCTAGGCTGCAGAGGGAGATCCTATCTCAAACAACAGCACAGCAAAGCTTATGAATGGAGGTGTGAAGGCGAAGCGAACTGTTTTGTGAGCATCCCTCTGTGCTGACACATTCCATCTTTGTAGACACCAGAATCTCTGACACTTACATTTCTCTGCCATTTCCAGACATCTTGAATCCCCCAAAGGGGCTCTGAGCATTTAAGGCATTGTAACAATTGATCCTGAAAGAAGAAAATAACATTGTTAATAGGAATGCAATAATCCAATTGGTGCATTTCTTTGAGAAAATTTTATTTCAAAGTGAAAACTTCAAAATGACTTTGATTTTCTGGTCTAGTTGGTAAGAGTGTTTTCTCAGATTGAGATCTGGCTGCCTTCTGTCTTTCCCATCCTTGCAGAGGGATTTGTTACCCTGGCTCTTGAGAATTATAATACCCTGCCACAGTTTGGATGTTATTTGTCCCTCAAGGGTTCACTTGTTGACGGATTGGTCCCTGGGGTGGTTAGAGAATGTTAGAGGATGAGGAGAAATTGTTAAAGGTGGAGCCTGGTTGGGGCTCCTTCATCACTGGGGGAGCTACCCCAGAAGCAAGGCATTAAGGAAGTTCCTGCAAGAACTCTAAAAGCAAGCCACTCTAAAGTTATCCACCATCTGCCATGAGGTAACAGGTAAAGGTCTTGTAAGAGTCTGACCATGTTCACTGGATGTATAGCCTCCACTGTGAGCTAAACAAAACTCTTTGAAATAAAGTTAGTTATTTCATGATAGTAATGAGCTGTGAACTACCACAGGCCTCCTTATATCACCGTGAATGGATATGTCTTACCAAACAGTTCCAGCTTGCATTGCAGATGACACCATGAGAGCCTTGTTGATGTCATTAGTGAAGACAGCTGCTACAAGTCCAAAGTCTGAGTTATTGGCTCTTTCTATAACTTCATCCATAGTCTTAAACCTCAGAATTTCCTGAACAGGACCAAAGATCTGCAACAAAACAGTGTATGTAAAGATGAAAAGTGTTAAAACTTGGTTATTGTCCAAACACTCTAGGAATCCTAGAAAAGATGGGGATATTTTAAGAATGCAGTGATACCTCCTCCTTGGCAATCCGCATGTCATCAGTGACGTTGGAGAACACAGTAGGCTCAATGAAGAAGCCCTTCCTTCCCAGTCCTTTGCCTCCACACTCCAGCTTGGCACCCTCAGCCACACCACTCTGGATGAGCTCCAGGATCTTGTTGTATTGTTTCTTATCAATCTGCAGAAGAAATCACTCAATGACTCTCAGAAGGCCTTCCATGAAAATAGCAACACACAAGTTTTCATGAACCCCTCCTGTGTGATTTTCTTCCCCAAATGTCACTGTATCTAGTCAAATCATATAAAATTGATACTACCTACTAAATTTTGAATGATGAAAAAATGGAAACATTTTTATGGGTGCACCTAACAGATGGAGGAATCCAAGGAACTCTAATGACTGCCTAACCTGAAATACTAGGTCAAGATTATTTTAGAACTTATCAAAATGCTAGAGGCCTGCCTTAATGATTATTCACAGTTTCTATAAAGAATGATTACTTCTGTCCAGATGAGTAATTAAGCAAGTCATATACTGACATTAAAAAAATGAAAACAGTGGGTTACACGGAGCCTTTTTCAGTAGTGTCACCTTAAGATAATATTAGGTTTATCTTAAAGGAGTATCTAAATGTATATCTGCCATGCCTTTAGAGAGGTGAACTAAACTCCCCAAGGGAAAGATTCCGATTGAAAACAGAAGCCAACACCAAAGTTGTCATTCAGTCATTATGGCGAATGACATAAGAAGTTATATTCACCTAGGTTTTCTTAGCTAGAACATCAACCTTCTCACCAGAGGTCCCCAAACTGAGAGATGGTTTCCCTTACTAGAAAACCCATGCTTAGTGATGCAGACAAGAGCCAGTTCAGACAACCCTTGCAAATTCTGGCCCTGATTAGATTAAGCCTGGCTGCTCAGGAGGCCCTTCTGTGACCTCTCCATTGCACTATGAGTATAGCACCATGAGAGTAAGCAATAACTACGCAGTCAAAGAGAAATTCAGCTGACCTTTCATTCTTGCATGTCACAGACTGTTGCAGGGAAAAGAACTGCTGGTAGCTGGTAAAGGGGAACAAAGTCTGCCAAGAAGATCAGACTCTCCTGACCTGAAGTGGCCAGGAGGCCTGGGGTGGGGCTACATTACCAAGATCCACCCTGCCATGCCCAGAAATCCTCCTGAAGTTCTTCATAGGTTATATTCAGTAATGTAAAGAGAGGCAATACCTCAATGCCTATATTTTCAACCATGAAGATAAGGTATAGGAATAAGGAGGCAGCTGAAAGTGGAAGAGGTTGTTTTGTTAAGTCCCATTAGCACCAGGATCTGTGCCAGCCTAGATTAATTGACACAAGGGTAAGGCTTATGGTTTCTTACCTGAGGACCCTGCTCAGTGGTGGGGTCAAAGGGGCTCCCCACAATGCGCCTTTTGGCCCTTTCCACACTTCTTTTCACAAACTCCTCATAGATGGACTCTTCCACAAAGATTCGAGACCCTGCGGTGCAGCACTGGCCTTGGTTGAAGAACACACCCTGGTGAGCCTGCTCCACCGCGTAGTCCACTACAAGAGGAAGCATCTGTATTCTCAACACAGTCTTGCTTGTGGCCTGTCTGGGGAGACACCTTCCTTCCCACTCTCCAAAGGCCCAGGTATAGTACCCTGCTCATCACAGCCTATGCCAACGAGTAGCTCTGGACTGAGAATACAGACAACACTTGCTATGTGAACTTGGATAACCTTATCTCTTTCTTGTTTCTGCAAAGAGAAGGACAAGCCCTCATCACTCATAACAGGAGATTTAAACTTCACTACACAGAAGACCCAGAGTAACTGTGACTCTTCCAGGTGACTAAGAAATGCAATGGAGACTAACAGAAGCCACCACAGTTGACTGTTAGCATACATGAATGTAAGCCCAGAGCTTACCAAACCTTTCCAGTTTTAAGGAAAATCAGAAGTCAGAGTTTTAATGTGACTTTTTAAGATTAAGTGTAATGGTAGGAAAAGTAAACATACATCCTATGTGTTTGGCCTATGGCTGCCCACTTAGGACTCCTATCAACTGGATCTTGTACGTTTAATTATCAATTTGGTGAGTAAACTGTAACAACAGTGACTCTTTGCAGATACTACATCTCCTCTCTATCTGGAATTGTTTAACAGCAGTGTGATAATTCTCCCACCCCTGATGTCTTACACGTCAAGGTAATATTGATAAATCTGCATGGTGGTTGCTAGATGACTGATTGAGTCAGTGGTGTGACACCAGACTGCCTGCTCCTCAAGAGGAAGAGGCACAAGATTGGACTTTTTTGAGATTTATTTTTATTATTTTTCATTATGTGCAGGTGTTTTCTCTCTACATGGAAGTATGTGCACATGTGTGCAGGTGCCCTGAGCTTGAGTTACAGTCAGCTATAAGCCACCTGACATGGATGCTAGGAATGGAACTCAGGTCCACTGAAGAGCAGCAAGTGATATCTCTTCAGCCCCAAGATCTCTAATCTCGACAAGGAAGCTAAGGTGAACTCTGCAATGCCCAAGTGGGATGTGGTTCAACCAAAGCACTTTCTCTTTCCTGACTTCTCCAACTGGAGAACTGAGAAAGAGTGCTGCCTGGAAGGTGTGAAGAGGAAAGGGAATGACTGAAGGAGATTTTGGAATTTCTTTCTGGAGAGTTTTTCAGGATAAGAGCATACAGACTAGGTGTTCTCTTCCTGGAAGGGTTTCTTAGGTTACCAATCTATGCTTCTGGTAAAGTTTGTCCCACCCAAAGCCTTGGGGGCAAGGGAAAGGGGTTAACATGAATAACTAGGGAAGTTGATGTGGGTTTGGGAAATGTAGCCAGTATTCTGGAAGCAGCATTTATTATTTGATGATTGACCAACCACTAGACCCAGATGAAAAGTTTCAGGTTTCTTGAATCTAAGCAGAGACTATATTTGAGGTGCCAGAGTCTTAGATTGTTGCTCTTTCCATCATGTATTAATGACCAAACCTTCACCTTTTCAACCCCATTCTACAACACCAGAAAGTCACAATGGTCCTAAACTGTTCGGTGGTTGGCTAGGTGTTCTTTCTCCCATATTAAATGATCTCCTCAGAGAATTGTGATGTCCTTTACTTCAAAGGTCTGACACTTGATATTCCATCAAGAGTGGATATACGGAAGAGGCAGCACTCTGACACATGTGAGAGATCTGTGGGTCACTTACAATCAGCATCGGCAAAAATAATATTAGGGCTTTTCCCTCCGAGCTCCAGGGTTACTCTCTTCAAGTTACTTCTCCCGGCTGCTTCTTGAATCAGCTTTCCAACCTGAAAGGAAGGGAATGCAGAGGGCTGTCAGATCTTGCACTGCTGCAGTCAGTGGTCAAAGCCACCTCCAGGAAACAATAGGACATGGAGGTTAATTGATCCCAAAGGCAAAATAATCCCAAGGGGACAACTTTTGTGGTGAACTTGGGAGGATGAAACATAGGCAGCTGGGATGCAGTTGAACACACCTGTTGAGGATGGAAATGATGCTTTCCTGTCATCATGGAAGACACAGGCCAGAAGATTTGTTGGAGATAAATGGCAAGCAACATGTGACTGAAAGTTTCACCAACACATTGTGGCACCTAGAGTCCTTGGGACTCTAGCTTTGGGCTTGGGGAAGGGGCTGACCCCACCTGCAAGTCACCATATCAACACAAAACAACAACAACAACCACAACCCTGTTCATTTATCTCCAAAATTACCAAGTCTTACACCTTTGCCTCTGCTTTGGGCTACAGTTAAAGTGTTCTAGATAGCTGAGAGTCTGTTCCTAACCAGTGTGTTACCGTAAAAGCCTATTTGTCTAGAATTAAAGTGTTTAAAGAAAAAAAATTGACACTAAGTAGATATCAGTCAATGATGAAATTGGATGTGTTAAATGGACATAGGGAAGTGCTCTACTCAAGAAAGAACATGTTACCTCACGGGCCAAGGATTCCTTCAGAAGAAAGACAGAAGCAACCAGACCCCTCAGTGTGCCCAAGCTTGGATGGGCACTCTGGGGATGGCCTACACCCACTCATTGATGGCAGCAGGATATAAAGGCTCTGTCCAGCAAAGACTTCTCTGCAGTGCCATATATGCCCCACCATGCCCAATGTAGGTGGCAAACACTGTCAAGTCTGCACTGTGATTTATCTTCCCTTTGGCAGAGGTTCCTGATGAAAACCAAGCTAAGGTATTACATACACAATTCCTTGGAAAGGTGTCAGATCAAAACCTATGGGATTAGAAAGTCTAAGAAAAAGTGATTGAAAACAGAAAACAAACCCCTGGGGTTGACTACCCTTCTTAGGTGGGAGGCTCCGGGTGTAGTTCCCTACGAGTATGTTCCATACCCCTTCCTACATGTCCAGAAGGTGGGAAGTGTCTGGTACATAGAGGAGGCTTAAGGATCAAGATAACGGGCAAACTTTGAAAGCCATGACAATTGGAATGAAATAGGCAATGTATAGATGAAAAGAGAAAAATCAGACAGCTTGGGAAACTAAATCTTGTATATGGCATAAATAGAGACCATAAGGGCCTGGCTTTTCATTCCATCATCTTTTGCAATCTGAAAAGGTTTCACAGAACACTCTTATCACTCCCATCACACCTCTGGGACGATGTGCTTGGTAAGTATAACCATACGTAGGTTTATGGAATTGTTTGGTTCCTAAGGACTAGAAGTCTTAGGCTTGCCGGGCGTGGTGCCCTACACCTTTACGGTCTGCATTCAGGAAGCAGAGTCAGACAGATTTCTGTGAGTTTAAGGCAGTCTTGTCTACAAAGCTAGTTCCAGGCCAGCTACAGTTATATGATGAGACTGCCTTAAAATAAAAGAAAGGAAAAAAAAATCCTGGGTACTATAAAGTGAGTTTGCTCCTAACAAAACTTCAGTTTGGAACTGCCCCTTTACCTCCTCTGGTTCCAGCTTCTTCACCTGCAGAATGAAAGCTCAACCCGAGCAGCAAATTCATCCCTTAGCACTGGTTAACTGGAGTTTCAGAGGACAGATGGGAGGGACTCCTGGGCCTGTATTCAGCAGAGACTGTTTTTCTTGCCATAAGGAGCAGAAGTAGCTTTTCCCAAGAGCACCACAGCTGCTGAGGACAGTAGAAAAGCTGGCCTGTTTTGAGTTTCCCCACACAAGGCTCCTTATGAAAGAGTAAGCGATAGAGTCCCTATCACACTGTTTCCTAAGGCTGCACTCCCTGCAGAGACTCCGGCTCTCTCTGTGTTCCCCACGCAGGCATGGTGGTGAGTAGGGGTTCCCACACACACACATGTGAAACTGGGCTAATTCTCAGCAGGAATGTTGGCACAGACCAACTCTGCCTCCCATGCTTGTTTGAATAGACTTCAAGATTGATATTAGGAGTATCCCTACAAGAGCCGCAGTGCTCCAGGATCCTGTGCACAGCAATGCCACAGTGAGGGGAAGGTAATTTGGTTCTTCACAAAGGAAATAATTTGTTATCCAGGACCAAAAAAAAAAAAAAAAAAAAAACCCAAAAAAAGGTTTTAAAAGGCCATTTTCAAAAAAGTTTTTTTCTCTC